TAGACACTTTATAATTAGTTAGTAGTTATATACGTGCTTCCTCAAAGATTGGCTCAGGATATCCTAGACTTTAGGGCTCCGGGCTTCGGAGTATCAAAGATTACGGTGGAAAGTTCAGAGCTTGGCCCGCAAACCCTAAACTCTGAACCACAAAGCGTGTTCTGTGAAACGTAAACGTTGAAGCCAAAGCTCTGGCCAAGCGACCAGGGCGATAGCAGGTGCAAGGGTTTATGTAGTGTTTAGGGCCGAAATAGTTAGCATCGTGCAGAGTCTAATGGAATAGAAGATTGGAACATGAAATCACTCGAGAGATTTTGTCCGTATACTATGTGATTGCTTTCAAAATCTTTTTCTGTCTGCGACAGAATGGAAAATGTAAACGGAGGCCTCGGTGAAGCCTACCTTCAACGCGACTACACTACAAACACCATGATCACTGCAAAAATAGCTGCTGCTGCTGCTCTTTCATGTGTTTCGGCGGCCGCTCGAAAAGTTTCATGCCATTTGGTGGATTTCTGTCATGTGTGCCGGCTTTGGGGTTCCAGACCATCCCCTATAGATTCCTAGATCGATCCCCAAGAGGACCCTGTTGAGGATGTCTGTTCTTGATTTTACGGGGGCCTTATTGCTAGGTGGACCCTCCTTCTAAACAAATGAATGCCGCATTGGCGATATGGTTTATACAAAATATCCTACAGGACCCTAGGTAGCATGTTCTGTAGGTTATGGTGCTCTAATATTTAAAGGGAGGTCGTGTAGTTCTCAAGTGCCAGCCTTGGTGCGTAGAAATTCTTTCCCACTGCAAGTGCTCCCTGCCATTGTCATAACTGTAGTTCCTGCCCACACCCTAGAACCTAAACTCTAAACCCTAAGCTCTTTTTAAATGTGCTTTCCTTTGACTGGAACCATTGCCTAAGGGTCCCAGGACCCACATACTAGGGTTTCAAGTCCCACAACCATTCAGATTATAGTGTTGGGGCCCTAAAGCCGCATTCTTTGAGTCCTGGGACCCTCAGGGATTGATAAAGGCCCTATCTGCACCAAAGCCCTGATTTCGATCCCTGCCTCTGGCACAGGCTCTGGCGATTTCGGTGCGTCTTCATGCACAGCGTTGCCCGCCTACGGAATGATCGCTGTTGAGGTTGTAGGATTAGCACGTACTGCTTGATGGATCCATTTTCAAAACAAGCCCATCCCAAAACGAAACCCTGCAAAACGGATACCTTATCTTCCAAATTTTGGGAAACCCTAAACCCTAAATAGTAGCTTCCATTTTCTTTTCCATTATCCCATATAACCCCTATGTACCCCCTATATGCCCATATAAGATTCCTTATCTTCCAGCAACTCCGGAACCCCTGACCAAGATGCCAGCTTTGAGCTGTTACATTTGTGCTGACTGACAAAAGATGCCTGCACAGGCGAAAAGCGTGGACACTCTGATCTAGCGATTGGGCCCTGCTTTCTGCTGCTTGCCAATGAATGATAAAAAGGATAGAATTGGCTGCACATGCTCGCTGGTGGGGGGGCAGTGTTAGGACTCACTTCCGGGGGGCAGTTCCGGGCAAATCGGGACCAGGGGCAAGTATATAAGGGGCATATATACGTTATGTAAGGCTTATGTAAGGTCCCTGCATGGTAACTCCCCTGCTGTGATTTCCTTAGGATATGTAATGTGTTCAACAGTTCAGCAACTTTCTGCTATACCCAAAATGGGCCAGCTTGCTAGGGAAGAGCGAACAACTTGTAAATTCGTAGTTTAGGGTGTAGGGTGTAGGGGTTAGGGTGTCAGGATTGGGCTATCAGTACCTGCTTGGCTATGCCTCAAAACAACTTCCCTGAGCTTGCCATACCCCCTAAACAAAAATGCAACAAGCATAAGCCTTATACCTCGAAACATTCGTCTCCCAAGAAACAAATGCAAAAAATAACTCTAGGAGGCATACCCTGAAGAAGGTGGATTGTGGCAGGTGGCTATTTGGGGAGTTCTCAAGGCATGGGTATCTCCAGAACCTAAGTTTCCAAAGCTGGAAAACTTGTGGCTATCTTCTATGTAGTCAGCTTCCCCTAATGGTAAACCCTTCCACCCCCTAGGTAAAATTATTCCCCCTCATATATGCTGGTAATATATTGGGGCGGCTAAATGACCTCAGGGTGTGGTTGAGTGAGGTTGTTGTTACATTTAGCCCAGCAAATTAAGGCATGAAAAGGGATCATAAAAGGTCTCTGCAAGCCTCTCCTCAACTTACATGTGCCTAAGCAAGAGGTGGTGGAGAAGATCCCTGCACTAATCTCTAATTAATCTCCTGAAGTAACCCGTATACTCCCTGCACGACTTCCCTTTCATGCCAATTCAAATTTTCAAGGGGTCAAGGGTTGTACTCAGAAGGTTGTACCCCTATTCTGCTAATTATGATAACCCAAGGTGAGCCCAAAACCCCTTTCGTGGTCCCCATAGAACCCCATGAATAATAACCCCAAAACCATGGGCACAACCCTAGCCTAGGGACACAACCCTGACCCCTGAACGCCAAGCCCTAAACCCCAAAACCCTATACCCAAAACTCAAATCCAAAACCCCAAACCCTAAACCTTCAACCCCAAACCCGACACTCAAAACCCAAAGCCCTAAACCCCAAACCCTGAACCCAAAACCCTATGGTGAAGCTCCAACCTGGGCATCCTCCTCCTGGTGCTCCTGGTGACAAGTGGAAGTAAACTCCCAAAGTGACCCAAACAGAGCACATGGAGATCCCAGCCACCCGAAGTAGGGGGGGAAGAGATTGGGCTTAGGGGCTAGGATTCGGGGATCCGGTTTAGGGATTTAGGAGTTTAGGGTTTCGGCCCAGTCGCCCCATAAAAGGATGTAGGGTTGAGACTGTAAGCCTGGTTGCCCAAAATCATGTGCTACTTTGACTCAAAGCAAAGGGAAAACAGGGGAAAGTCGATTGTGATTCTGGGCTGCTGGCTTTCAAGGGAGACTGCCTAAGCAGCTGGACCATGTTAGACGGTAACAAACAACCCGACCCCAAAACCCTATACCCAAAACCTCCAAATCTCCCATGCCTTACGCCCCTAAGTCCCAAAACCCCAAACCTCGAAACCCTAAACTCTACCATCATTACTAATACTTATTATTAGGAAACCCCTAAAACCCTATACAACCCCCTTTAGGGAGTTGAGACCCTTAAGGCCTATTATTACAAGCCTTAGGATGACAAAGCTTTGGGCCTGCGAGCATCAAAGGTTTGGTCCAAGGCTATCCGAAAAAGCCGTCAGGGTGTAGGGCGGTCCAGGGTTTAAGGTTTTAGCGTTTATGGCTACATGGTTTCAGGGTTTATGGCCAAGGGCTTAAGGTTTTAGGGTTTATGGCTACATGGTTTCAGGGTTTATGGCCAAGGGCTTAACGTTTTAGGGTTTATGGTTGAAGGGTTTAGGGATGTTAAGGGGTTTAGGGTTACACCATCCTCCCTTGCCTTTTTGTACTTCTACTATAGGGGCCTAAATAAGTACTAATAGTTCTTATCCTGAATGTTTGTATTACAGGTATAGTTCAGAGTACCTCATTTAGACATCAAAATGATGTTTCCACGGTACACTGAAGAACACATCCTTCGAACTTGAAACTCGGTTGGCAATCTGCATTGAAGTCTTTAGTGAGAAAACTATTGCCCCAGGCCCAAGCTGGATTATTGTTAAAGAATCCAAATTATATCAATTACTATAATGAGGAATGTTATTGTTCACTGTAAGCCCATATTATGTTTAACTGAACTCACGTTCTTTTTAAGAGCAATCCAGCATGAACCCCCAACGTGTTATGGAATCAGGAAATCCTCCGCCATGACGAAATCCAGGTCGCATACTTGTACAGCATAACCTGCAACTAATGAACCATAGTCAACAACACTACATGAGCTGTCGTCTAAGCCCCTGTTATCCCCCTAAATAACCTTTATAGTAGTCCCCTACATAGTCCTGGGAAGTCTCCACGTTGTTGGAAGGGGCCTTAAAGGACTTTGATTTGCAGGGCTTGGTAGCTCCGAGTGGTGGAGGATTTAGGATTCAGTACCGTGCAGTGTCAAGTTAGAGGCCGTAAATGAAGGCTAGAATAACCTATACAATGTGACTGATGGGTTTTGCAGCCTAAAACACAGGCCATCCCGTAAACTTTGCCAACCCCCCGAAACAACCACAGAACTAGACTGAGAGGAGATTAATCATTTCTTGGAAAAGTTTGGTTTGCAGAGCCTGCAAACAACCACGTGCTCAGAAAGACGCTGCCAAACTGCAACAGCACCTGATCGGCCTTGCTGAAAAGGGTTTCATACTTACAGGTTTGATAGCTCCGGGGTTGAGGTGAAGCGTTCCGCTTTATTTTTCTTTGGGGCCGAACAAATTGAAAGGTGATGTTGCGCTCCCAAGCAGCCGTCTGGGCGGCAAAGCAGATGGAGTAGGCTGTGATGCAGCCGCAGAAGAAAGCCTCTGAGCGCTTTTCCTCCTTGGATGAAGCAAATTTCTATTTTGAATAGGTGCCAAACAACAGCATCATGTCAAGTCCGTTTTCTTCCCTATAGGACCCGGAGCCATCCAGCAATCCCGTGGAACTTAGTACCGAGCCACTTCCAGGAATTCGAACAAGTCCCTCCGAATGAGGCCTTTCTGCGCGCTGTGCTGGATGGCCTGCCCAAGGCGGTGAAAAAAGAGAGGCTTCAAGGTTCAAAGGAATCTACGAAGCAAGTTCTGCATCCCCGGCGTCATCCCTTGTTCTTTCAAATGTTTGTGATGTCATCTGTCTAAGCTACGGTTTACACCAACCGAGCACGCTGGTAGCTTCCTTCGATTTCACATGAGTTGTGTTTTGTGGTACAAACTTGACCAATCTTTAAGCCAACACCGTATCTCAAAAAAATGTTGTCCGTGTGTTCAGGATCAGCAAGTGAGTCAAGTCGAACAACGCCTGAAGCACATCGCAACTAGTCAGATTGAACCAGCAACACATTAGCCTCCCGGAATCGCCAAGGCGGGAGGACTAAGAGCTGCTTCAGCGCGCTCCGGCTCACCAGAAAGGTTGTCACCGCAGCGAAATAATATTGCCGTGCGATCAGAAAGGTAAAGACGGTGTTGATATCAAGGCCGACATCCAGGAGCACCAATGCCACACTTGACACACAGGCCAAGGCGGTGACGGGCTTCATTTTGCTGGGGAACTCGTCCTTCGTCAGTGCGATAGCAGGGTTGATCCTTGTGTGCACGCATACAAAGTTGTCCTTCGGAATCTTGAGCAAATCCTGAACTGCCTCTGCTCTTGTGCTCAGGCTATCCCACGCCGGCATTTGCTGAGGATGTATCCGCCCACGACAGATCCAGCGGATTAGGCGCTGCGCGCCGCTACTGAGCGTGGCATAAAGAAGACATGCCATGTACAAGGCAAGGAAACTGAGTACAGCCAAGGTAATACACACGAAGAGAAAATTCCCGTCAATGCGTGGCGCCCATTGCAGCAACCAGTGCTCGTTCAAATAAGATGTGTACCACTGGAAAAGTTTCCAGTCGTGCCAAGGCTTGAAGAGCGGATTCATCATGATGGCCATCTCTGGCAAAATTGTCCCCTGCCCGGCTGCAAAGACCGTCAAGGAGATCCCCAATAAAGCCACCATGCGAAATATTCCAATCACCTCAGTTTCGGCGGGTGTTCAATAACCTATGTGTGTTCACAACTCCGACTGCTGCTGCCAATGCTTTGGGCATGAATGCTCTGAGTACTTTTTGCTGTGGCACTCGCACAATACTCTTGGGGATAAACATCACTATGGTCTGTGCAGGGATGTCTGGTGATCGGGCAACTTGTAACACAGGTTTGAGCGTGGTTGCGATCGGCGAGCGCACAAACGCACTAAAACCACCAACATCCCCAACACCGCTGCAACCAGGGCCGCTTCCACTACCATCACTACCACAACCATCCCCACCAACAGCGCCAGCACCACACCACCGCTTCGTTGTTGTATCAGGACTTCACGCCAGGCGGGTTGAAATCACTTAATGCAATTGCTTCTACTGTGTTATAGCCGCAAGTACGCGCTGAAACAAGTCCTTTAAACAAGGAAAGCATATGAAAGCCGCCTGTGCTGCTGTGCCCCTGGTCATGATGGCCAGTGCGGGCGCTGAGAGAAGCCGAGGACCTCCGTAGAGGCAGGCTGCTGGTACACCGTAAGCCAGAACCACCAAGGGCAGCCACCAAATCCAGTTCATGACCAAAAGCGCGAAGCCAAACCAGAAAACAGCAGTCAACACCTCCAGCCAGCGCCACAGCCTGAGCAGCCACACGCGCCTGGCAAAAGCTTGGCCAACCAACCGTTTGGCTGACTGGATGAACTCATGCGGGACTGCCTCCTCTTTCAGCCAACCGTTGCGTCGACCAAATTCCTCCAAACAAACGGCTGCGAACGCTGCAAATGTAGCGGACAATGGAACCACCCACGAGAGCCAGTTCGACAAGGTCAGCAAAATCATGTCCTCCTGCTCCGCGCGCAACTTCAAGAAGTCCTGTAGGGCTGCAGGAAATTTTGGTTGCGAAGCACTTCTAGCTACTAACCTACCATTGCCCGAATGCAACAAGCCGGACCTAGCCACATCCTGTTGAAAGCATGGATATGTAGAGTTTGAGGCTTGGGCTACAAGAGTGAGTGACTTTAAAACAGACTCGCTCATCCTTTGCTTCTTCGTCCCTCAGCCGGCCCATCAATGTACCGAAGGTAGTTGGAAGGCTGGGGTTGGCGCCACAACCGTCTACCCACAACTGCAATGCTGGCTTTAGGAGGTTTTGCGAATCTGAACATTGTAGATGTTTTGCCGCATCCTTCCAGGACTGAGTGGCCTCACTGGTGTTGCAAGCCAGCTCCATCAGCACCTCGCAGGACCTAAACGTGCCAGGGAAGGAAGAAGGCCGGGACCTCTGAAACATCCACAGAGCCACTTCAAGACTCTGTGTCTGCTGAAGTGCGGTTGCGCCATCTTTTGCCGCTACACTGAGCCCATCGGGCCAGTGCTCCACCAAGAGCTTCACCAGTTCCAAGCTGGAACCATACGCTGCATCGTGTAAGGGCAGCCAACCCACCGTGTCAGCAACTCTCACGGCATCTGGCCATTGCTGCATTAGGAGTCGTGCGACCTCAACCTTGCCACTGTAGGCTGCATGGTGTAAGGGCAGCTGACCGTACTGGTCAGCAACTTTCACGGCATCTGGCCATTGCTCCAGCATCAGTCGTACAGCCTCAACCTCAGCATTGGCATTGTTGGTTGCACGGTGCAAAGGCAGCCAACCGTTCTTGTCAGCAACTCTCACGGCATCTGGCCATTGCTGCATTACAAGTCGTACGACCTCAACGTTGCCACTATAGGCTGCAAGGTACAAGGGCAGCCGGCCGTCCGTGTCAGCAACTGTCACGGCATCTGGCCATTGCTGCATTACAAGTCGTACGACCTCAGCGTTGCCACTATAGGCTGCACGGTGTAAGGGCAGCCGACCGTACTGGTCGGCAACTGTCACGGCATCTGGCCATTGCTGCATCAGGATTTGTACGACCTCAATGTTGCCATTGTCGGCTGCAAGGTACAAGGGCAGCCATACGTGAGTGTCAACGTTGCCACTATAGGCTGCACAGTGTAAGGGCAGCCAACCCTCCGTGTCAGCAACTCTCACGGCATCTGGCCATTGCTGCATTAGGAGTCGTGCGACCTCAACCTTGCCACTGTCGGCTGCATGGTGTAAGGGCAGCTGACCGTACTGGTCAGCAACTTTCACGGCATCTGGCCATTGCTCCAGCATCAGTCGTACAGCCTCAACCTCAGCATTGGCATTGTTGGTTGCATGGTGCAAAGGCAGCCAACCGTTCTTGTCAGCAACTCTCACGGCATCTGGCCATTGCTGCATTACAAGTCGTACGACCTCAACGTTGCCATTATAGGCTGCACGGTGTAAGGGCAGCTCACCGTCCGTGTCAGCAACTGTCACGGCATCTGGCCATTGCTGCATTAGGAGTCGCACAACCTCAATATTGCCCTGTCCGGCTGCAACGTGCAGGGGCGTTTTTGCCCACCCATCCCTCGCTTGCGCACCTGCTGGCCAAGCCGCCATAAGCAGCTGCAACACCTCTGCATGACCAACGCCAGCAGCTTCATGGAGCATGGTGTCTGCCCACCCCCAATTATCAAATTGCAACTGGCTGATGTCAAAGCTGGCTCTGCTGAGCAGAAGCTCAACGTCGGTGGCATTGCCGCTGCGCACCGCTGACAGCAGCTCCTCGTTTGTGGCAGCCCCTGTGGCAAAGGCCCACAGACATAGCGCAACCCAGTGGTACATTATGATTGGCAAGCTGAATGCTATGGATTGCAAGCCCTATGCCAGAATAACCCATCATCACCCTTCATGCTGTTCCATGACAATTATGAGTCCTTAGAATTGCTGAGACTGCCTTTCTGCACGGTAACTGTTAGCCATGCCCTGGGTTGTGTCCCTCGCTGCTTGGCAGCTCGGGTAGGGAATAACATAACTGGGCGAAGGCTTGATCTGAGGGTTTGGCAGAGACGAAGCCTTGTACCAAACTCTCCACGCCAGACCATAAGCCGCAAACCCTTAGCCCTATAAACCCTAAACCCTAAGCCCCAAAGCCTAATCCCGAAATCGCAACGGCTAGAAGTAGTCTGCATGATTGAATGTGGCAGGCAGCCTTGCAGCAGTCAAAACCACCAGGGATCCCTGAATAAGCAAAACTCACATGGTGGTTTTCCAAAACAGGGGGTCCTCATCGGGTTTAGGGTTCAGAGCTTGCGGTTGGTAGTTTCCCAATATAGAGGGACCCCAATATGAACCCCAAAATATTATGATCCTTATTATGGGGGCCTAGTAAGAATACCCCTAATGTTGAGAGATCCGCACATTCCTCCTGTTGATACGGCAAATCCTGCATGGCCCTACTGTGCGGGAGACAATGATTCACTGTATAAGTTACTCAGGGTAAAGCAGAATTTTTCGTGTCCACTTTAGATAAAGTGCCTACAGCCTAAACCTCCTAACAGTACTGAAATATGGTCATCTTAACATAGAATTATGATACCACAAGGGTCTTGAACTGCCCGAAGGTTCTTATAAAATCAATCATAATGTCACGTAGTTTCTTCGCAGGAGAGCTTGTGATTAGGATGGAGCGTCTGTCGTTCGAGGGCAGTGGCCGCCAGAGCGGCCTTGTACCTCTAAACCTCACAGGGGGGTTGTTCTAAAGGTCCTTGTAAAGAAAGGACCATTGGGAATACACTTCCTTAAAGGGGGACCCTAACCAAACAGGGAGCCTATGGCCATTTTGGGGTATTCTGAACAACTACCACATTGTAGCTCGCAGCTCCTCATGCTTTCCCCTAAACCCTATAAACCCTAGACCCCTAAACCCTAAACCCCTAAACCCTAAACCCCTAAACCCTAAACCCTAAACCGTGTTGAGCACCCTCCTTACTGAGCCTGCGATGAAGTCATAGCGGCGCGGGCACATCAAAGTATGGGTCAGGAAAAATTGATTATGTTGGTGTTATGTTAGGGGGTATATTGGGATAATGGAAAATTAAATGGAAACTACTATAATATATTGGGGTTATAATGGGATAATGGAAAAGAAAATGGAAACTACTTAATTAGTTGTTTGGTTTAGAAAAGCATTGCAATCAGGATCTTCCGTACTTCTACAACTCGCATAACTTAATGAATGGATTGTGCAAGCAACTACTATCTTCAAAACCCTGAGTACGCGGCAGTTGTCCACATTCTGGCGGCCAGCCTGTTCCAAGCTTCACAGGATTTGGTCTTGACATCATGACCTCATTACGCGAGCATGTACCGGCCCTCAGTTCTCGTGTAGGCACGCCCTTCACGAGTCATTGCTACCTAAGGCTACCTAGGTCGAGCAACATACACATAGGGGGAGCATGGGAAATGGGCCTTCCACCTCGAGGGAAGCGTGCAAGGGCGCAGCAAACAGTTGCTATCCAACCCCTGAGACCCAAACACATCCTGCACCTGAGGAAGGCGCATGGGTATCGAGGAGCGCCGATGTGAACATTCCATATCGTGTGTAGGCGGCTCTTCTCTAACATGCCTGCGGCTCTCGAATCTCTGCTCCCAACAACATAACACGCATTGGCTATTGGATAGCCTAAACACGTATGAGCAGAACTGTGCGTAGGGCGAAGGTCACAGGTGTGGGACTCAAAAGATGTTCCGAATCCCAACCCTAACCCTAAACTCTGAACCCTAAACTCTAGACCGTTGTACACCAGGACCCTTGAAAGAGGAAATGAGCCTGATTCCAAGCATTCAAAAGCTGACGACACCCTGGCCTGGACCTTATCCCAAACTGACATGGAATTGTAGACCAGGATTCGGGGTCTAGAGTTTTGGGGACGCTCCATGTGCCCTTAAATTATGGGTTATATATGGTCCCTACTAGTGGGTTTAGAGGGTGGATGGCGGGTCTGGGTATAGCACCATTCGACAAGGGAATGTGGTCTAAAAGAGCCCCTTTCGGGGTACAGTGCTAGTTTGTGGGCCAGAACCCCCAAACCCTAAATCTTAAATTCTAAACACTAAATTTCAAATCCTGTAGCCCCCCCTTTTTCTTTCGGGGTGCAGTGCTAGTTTGGGGTGCCCTAAACCCTTCCTTGACCCTACAAAAACTTATCAATAAAACCTGAGCCCTGAACCCTACCCAACACCCCAGCACCTAAACCCTAAACCCTAGAACCTAAACCCTACACACCCTAATACTTAAACCCTAAACCCTAAACTCTAAAACATAAACCCTAAACCCTAATACCTAAACCCTACACCTTAAACCCTAAACCCTAAACCTCAAACTCGCCTAAGTGCTGCATCCTGAAAGCTTAACCCTGAAAGGTCCACCATGGCACCCCAACCTTCAGCAGGACGATTTGCTGGCGATAGGGCGTATGGCAAACAGCTCTCATCCCAAGTTAACTAGGGTTTCTATAGGGCTATATAGGGTTTAGGGTTCAGGAGTTTAGGGTTTATATGGCTTAGGGGTTTAAAGTTTAGGGTTTAGGCTTCAGGGTTTATGTGAATCCCAGCTAACCTGACATGAAACTACGTCCAAACCCTGGATTCAGGCACCAATGTGGTATATAAAGTCACCCAAGTTTCCTACAATTCTGCCATTTTCACCCTACAGAAACTCCTAATTTTCAGAAACTCACATATGGATGCATATGTGCAACATCTTTGCTCGCTTTCCAACATAATGCCCTGCACCCCTTCCTTGGACCAAAGCTGCAGTATGAAGGGTCTTGGGTCACGTCGGCCTTTGCGTGCAAACCCACTAATTAAGGGTTTATGGCCAATGATCAGCAACTTGAACTGTTGCATTTTTCTTCAGGAGCCAGAGGCCTCTGCTCTTTCCAGAAAACCCAACCCAGACTCTACAAGGCTACACCCTAAACCCTACACCCTAAACCCTACACCCTGACATCCCCGCCATAAACCCTAAACCCTCAACCCTGCACGCCATCGCCCAACCTGTCAAGATGGCAAAGTCTGGAATTCCAAATGCCTTGAATTTAGCCAAACTGTTAGGATTTGGGTTTTAAGGTATTCTCCTAAGAACAATAGGGGTCCCTTTTGCAGTGATGTGGGTATGTGCGTTAAAAGGGG